GGACCAGGAATCGGCGGACTCCAGCGAAGAAATGGCCGCAATTTTAAAGGCGGAGTTGTAGTTTCCCTCGTGTAAAAGTATTTCGCTGCTTGAGCAGCTGAATATCGTTTGGGATGCTGAAGAGAAGGATTTTTTTTTTTTAATACAACTAGTTATTAGACTATTCACTAAAAAAAAAAGGAAAAGAAAAATGTATGTCCATACAAACCCTCTCCCTCCTCATTAACATCCATTTATCTCTGAACACAGCAAATGGCAAATTTCCATCCCATAGGAGATGTTTTCTCATGGCAGAGAGCATTTTTCAGGAAGAAAAAAGCAGCAGAAAGGTGGAAAGCTTAGTGCTTAAAATAATGTTACAGTCTTCTGACAGCAAATCGGGGCTGTGTTTGGTACCAGGAGGTACTGCAGGTGTTGGCCTGTTCAACAGCAAAGTGCACATGTGCACACGATCAAAAAGGCACCTGAAAATTTCACCGTTAGGCATCAAATCAGTTTATGCTGATGCTCATCCAGGTGTTGGAGATCCTAAGAAAAAGGAACATCGTGGGAATGACAAGATGGTACAGAAAGAGCATGGTGTAACCCAAGAGGGATGTGGAGCTGTTAGAGTGAGTCCAGAGGAGGCCATGGAGATGCTGTGAGGGGTGGAGCAGCTCTGCTCTGGAGACAGGCTGAGAGAGCTTGGCTGGTTCAGCCTGGGGAAAGCTCCTTAAGGGGAGACTTTACAGCAGCTGCCAGTGTCTAAAGGGTGTCTACAAGAAACCTGGAGAGGAGCTTTGGACAAGGGCCTGTAGGGACAGGGCAAGGGGAATGTTTTTAACCTGACAGAGGGGAGATTGAGTTGAGCTCTTAGGCAGAAGTTCTTCCCTGTGAGGGTGCTGAAGCCCTGGCACAGGTTGCCCAGAGAAGCTGTGGCTGCCCCATCCCTGGCAGTGTTCAAGGCCAGGTTGGACGGGACTTGGAGCAGCCTGGTCTAGTGGAAGGTGTCCCTGCCTGTGGCAGGGGGTTGGAACTGGATGAGCTTTAAGGTCCCTTCCAACTCAAACTAGTCTGGGATTCTCTGATTCTCTGATTCTTGTAATTCATTGTACCCCAAATTATTTCACTCTAGTTTCAGATGCAAGCCAACACAGATTACATATAGAAATATGAAGACTAAGCACATTTCTGAAATAATCATCCACTAGAAACTCTTTGGGGTTTCAGATCAGTTTCTCAGCATTGGCAGGTTTTTTTAACACCCAAGAATTGCAAGGTTTTCCTGACAAGCACATGCTTAGAGTAATGTATGAGGTGCAGCTCATACTGAGTCCAACATGAGTCCAGTTAAACTCAAAAATAAACCCCGTTTATATGTGAAACTATTTATTCAACTGTGCATTTTTTTTGACTGCTACTATGCCAAATCCTAGTATTGACTGGAGCAGGGAAATACGTCACTGTTTTATGTAATGTAGATGTAGGTGAGGCCTACTAAGGTCTGCTGTTACGCTGAAAACTAGGTATATATTCTAAAGAAAGAAGGTAACTTCAAAAAGAAAGTGCAAGATATCAAAATTCCGAAAGTCTTGTTATTGCCCGTAGATTATACCAGGATAATGTGAGAAAGGAAGGAAATATTTTTTCTCTTCTTTTATTCCCCATTTATAGCAACTTTTAGCTTCTTCCTTTCTTGTCCCTGACAAATCTGATTACTATTGATAGTCCCTCTCACTTTCTGTCCTTGCTCCATCATGATGCTGCTCTCCTGCTTCTGGGAATCTTACATTGTTACTCTTTTCTGTTCCTACTTTTCTCCCTGCAAATCCTCTGGCAAGACTTTTACTTCTGCTGAGGCTGACATTACAGGAAATCTTCCTGTGCCACAGTTTTAGCTCATGCCCCCACAGTGGGGATGCACAGAATTTCCTGGGAGCACCACGGGGTTTGCAGTCTCTTGTCTTCAGAGTCAAGGTTTCCAGTATTTCTGTCCACACAAAAATCAGGAAAGCTGGCTGTTTTGTGGATAAAGCAAGAATGAACCTGCTTGGTTCATTCCCAAGCAGGCAGAATGAGATTTGTGTTTCTGGAAACTCTGGTTATATTTCCACTTTCATCCTTGCAGTGCCCAGCTCGGTGTCTGTTTTCCAGTTCAGGAAAGCTGGCTGTTTTGTGGATAAAGCAAGAATGAACCTGCTTGGTTCATTCCCAAGCAGGCAGAATGAGATTTGTGTTTCTGGAAACTCTGGTTATGTTTCCACTTTCATCCTTGCAGTGCCCAGCTCGGTGTCTGTTTTCCAGTCACACTGTGTTTCCTTTCATTGCTCTCTCTTCTCTGCACCACAGTATGTATTTCTTCTCATGTTCACCGCGATATGTCCTCCTCTGTCACTGTTCAGCTCCTCTTAAATATGCTTAGAGGCCACCAGGTGGCACTAACCACACATGAAAATTTCCATTTCCAGGGATTTCTAACAGTTTTCCACGCTCTGCTCTCAAGTAGCTGGAAGCAATCAGGGAAGAATTGCTCTGTTACCCCCTAGATAACAAGCATTAATTTAAACTCTGGTGTGTCTGTGTGAAAAAACATTTGTGTGTTTTAAAATGTGAGCCTCCAGGAGGGTTGGTTTTGTGTTAAAGAACCGGGCACTGGTATAAAGAAAAAAATCTGGGATTCTGTGATTCTATGATTCTGATCCTGTCCTGTCTTATCACTGTGTACTGTACATGCTAACATCAGGAGTGTTACAACATCTCACTCTTCTGGCGGTTGAAGCTGTTAATTTTCAGTGAGATTATTTTCACAGCCAATTTTTCCTCTGTGGTTGATATATGTTGATATGGAGAAAACTCCATGAACAAACGTGCCAACAAAATTTCCAAGCTGACAAGCAGGTATTCTTTATTGCAGCGCTGGGAGACATGGGGGATAGCTCCTCCTAAGGTGTGTCTCCCAATTGCCGCACAAGCCGTCCTTTTATAGCCACTGGCCATACATACATATTCATGAGGCTACGTATGGATTACATAATTTTCTGGAAAGTTCCCCACATGCGTACAGAATTGTGGTGGTGGTCTCTGAGGGTCGTTTACTTCTTCCAACAATCTTCATCACTTCTGGCAGCCTTTGAAGCATGCGCAGTAGATGCTCATACCAGTTTAATTGTTTCGTTAGCACCAGAGACATAATAATCCTCCTATCCTCCTACTTATCAGTTAGTTTAACTGTAGCCCATCCTGGACATCTGCGGTTCCCAGATACTCCTTATCCCTGTGTCCTGTTCTTCTAGACTGTTTTTCTTAAACTATGTCAACTATAACGATTTATCCTGTGAGAATTCTCAGTATGTTTTCTAGCTGTACTCTGTTTATATTTTTCTCTATGCATCATGCACCTCAGTAATTTTCCATTGCTACTGTTACAAAGCCATCAAACTTAACATTACTTAAATCTAATTCTAAAGGTTTCTATATTCCATTTTGTGATTTTGTGCCCCCTTGTTTCAATGTTCACATAGATAATTTGGCCCAGATTTCCACCACGCCAACATTTTGTATATCTTGCTTTGGTATTTAAAAGTCTCTAGTAACACAAAAATTGAGTTTTCTCAGAAAGCTTGGGTTGACAGGAGTATCAGGCCAATATGCAGTACCAGTCACAGTACCCTACTTCGTATTTCATTGACATGAAAAGTACTAAGTTCTGAATGGGAACATAGCCCTGTCATGCAGTATTCACATGATAATCAGTATTGAGAGCAAACGTTGCTGCAACTTACCAGCCTAAGTTTCATTATGTGTATATCTGTCCAGCCTATCCTCATATGTGACTAAATTTTCAGAGGCATTTTTTCAAAACAGACCCTTCAGGTATCCACCTCCAAAACTCAGCTTTCTAGGAACAGATCCATAAAGTCAATCACTCTTCAATAGAATGACCCGTAAGAGGCAGATAACTGATTGTCGTGGTTTAAACCCAGTCAGCCACACAGTTTCTACTCCCCCCACTTTTTCTTTCCTTCCCCCTCCCTCACCTGCGCTCCCAGAAGGATGGGGAGGAGAATCAAGAGAATGTAACTCCCATGGGTTGAGATAAGAACAGTTCAATAACTAAGGTATAACACAAACCACTACTGCTGCCACCAATGATAATAATGATAAGGGAAAATAGCAAGGGAAGGGAATACAATACCACCCACCGTTCTGTATTACACAGCAGGCAACAGCATACAATTGAGTTCATTGGCTGTCTTCCCCTAAAATCAAATCCCCTTGAGGTACACATCGAACTTCCTGCATTACCCACCAAGTACATACAGGTCCCTGAGCAAAAGCAATCCCACAAGTGGGTTGTCCTGAAGCAGAAATAACCCAGACTGTCTTCCCCAGCAAATTATTCATGTGCACCACAGGAACTTTGTCTCCCTCTAAAATATGTGAAGGTTCTGACTGGGCTGGGCCAGCCCTATTGACGGATCCTCTGGTGTTGACCAACCAGCTGGCCTTTGGTTAAGTGTGTATCCCAATGCTTGAAAGTTCCCCCACCCATTGCTCTCAGTGTAGTTTTTAACAGCCCATTGTACCGTTCAATTTTCCCAGAGGCTGCTGCATGGTAGTGGATGTGATATACCCACTCAATGCCATGCTCTTTGGCTGAAGTGTCCATAAGGTTATTCCGGAAATGAGTCCCACTGTCTGACTCAATTCTCTCTGGGGTGCCATGTCGCCACAAAATCTGTTTCTCAAGGCCCAGGATAGTGTTCCGGGCATTCGTGTGGGGCCCAGTGCATGTTTCCAGCCATCCAGAGGTTGCTTCCACCATGGTAAGCACATGGTGCTTGCCTTGGTGGGTTGGTGGGAGTGTGATATGATCAGTCTGCTGGGCCTCCCCATATTTGTACATCAGCCATTGTCCTCCATACCAAAGAGGCTTTAACTGTTTAGCTTGCTTAATTGCAGCACGTTTCACACTCGTGAATAACCTGGGCAAAAGTGTCCATTGTTAAGTCCACCCCTCAATCATGAGCCCACCTGTATGTTGCATCTCTGCCCTGATGGCCTGAAGTGTCATGGGCCCGGCGGGCCAAAAGTAATTCACCCTTATGTTGCTAATCTAAGTCCATCTGAGCCACTTGGCTCTTAGCAGCTTTATCCACTTGTTGGTTGTTCTGGTGTTCCTCAGTGGACCAACTCTTGGGTACATGAGCATCTACATGACGTACCTTCACCACCAGGTTCTGCACCTGGGCAGCGTTATCTTTCCACAGTGCAGCAGCCCAGATGGGTTTACCTCTGCATTGCCAGCTGCTCTGCTTCCATTGCTGCAACCACCCCCACAGGGCATTTGCCACCATCCATGAGTCAGTATAGAGATAAAGTACTGGCCACTTTTCTCGTTCAGCAATGTCCAGGGCCAGTTGGATGGCTTTCACCTCAGCAAACTGACTTGATTCATCCTCCAGCAGTTTCTGCAACTTGTCATTGAGGACTCCATACACCTGCCTTCCATCTCCGGTACTTTCCCACAGTATGGCAGGACCCATCAGTAAACAAGGCATATTGCTTTTCACTTTCTGACAGTTTATTATATGGTGGGGCCTCTTCAGCACGCACCACCTCCTCCTCTGGTGACATTCCAAAATCTTTGCCCTCTGGCCATGATGACTTCTAGAATGCCCGGACGACTGGGATTTCCATTGTGTAATTAGTGCAGCTCACTTACTCCATGTAGCATCGGTTGCATGATGTGTAGAGGAGACCCTGCCTTTGAACATCCAGCCCAGCACAGGCAGCCGGGGTGCCAGGAGGAGCTCTGCTTCAGTGCCAATCACTTCCGAAGCAGCTTGAATCCATTCATAGGCTGCCAGTATCTCTTTCTCAGTTGGTTTATAGCTGGCCTCAGATCCTCTGTATCCCCAAGTCCAAAAGCTGAGGGGTCGACCTTGAGTCTCCCCTGGAGCTTTCTGCCAGAGGCTCCAGGTAGGACCATGGTCCCCGGCTGTGGTGTACAGTACATTTTTTTGCATCTGGCCTGCTCCAGACTGGTCCAAGGGCTACTGTGTGAACTATCTCGCGTTTAATTGGCTCAAAGGCTTGTTGTTGCTCAGGGCCCCATTTAAAATCATTCTTCTTCCGGGTCACATGATAGAGAGGGCTTACAATTGAACTGTAATTTGGGATGTGCATTCTCCAGAACCCCACAGCACCCAAGAAAGCTTGTGTTTCCTTCGTATTAGTTGGTGGAGACATTGCTGTTATCTTGTTGATCACATCTGTGGGGATCTGTCTATGTCCATCTTGCCATTTTATTCCAAAAAATTGAATCTCCTGTGCAGGTCCCTTGACCTTACTCCGTGGATGGCATTTCATCCACTGTTAGTTGCTCTATGTCATTCCGGGTTACTTTTGCCAATGAATGGGCATATGATGACAGTGCATTCTGTGTAAGTTTTCGCCACATGGGTCGTGTACATTCACCTTCATCTGGATCTATGGGTATATCCCCATTATTTGGCTTGACGTGATAGATCATCTCTACGATGGCTGATTCCCTCAGAGACTGGATGCCTTTCTTTAGCATAGTCCACTTGGCTGAAAGACTCATAACATTGTCCATGTATGGAAACCTTTCTTTCACAGCTGCCAAGAGCCGCCTCCAAAGGCTGAGGGACCATTTTTCTCTTGCAATTGCTTGTCAATTCTCCCTTCTCTAGCAAGTGATTCCAGCTGCTTAGTTTCTCTACCTTCCAGTTGGTGACCATCAGCCCCATTGTCCCAGCATCGGAGCAACCAGGTGATGATGTGCTCCCCTGGTTGACGGGTAAAATCTTTTCGCATATTCCGTAGCTAGGTTGAGGTCCGAGGTTGAGAAGTTACCTCTTCTTCTTCTTCTTCATCATGTGATGATGACTCCTGATCAGATGCTAGACTGGGCGGTGAATTCATTGTTTCTTCATCTTGCTTCACCCTTCTTGCCTCTTTTTTGCTTTTTCTCTTGTGTACAGGGGCAACTAATATTGGTATGAATTGGTCCTCTGGTTTGGTTGCAGTAATTATCACTGTGGTTTACACACAGTACACACAGTATGCTAGAGACTGGAAGGGACCTCAAAAGATCATCTAGTCCAATCCCCCTGCCGGAGCAGGAACACCTAGATAATGTTACACAGGAATGTGTCCAGGTGAGTTTTGAATGTCTCCAGGGAAGGAGACTCCACAACCTCCCTGGGCAGCCTGTTCCAGTGTTCCGTCACCCTTACTGAGAAGTTTCTTCTCAAGTTTAAGTGGAACCTCTTGTGTTCCAGTTTGGACCCATTACCCCTTGTCCTATCATTGTTTGCCACTGAGTAGAGCCTGGCTCCATCCTCGTGACACTCCCCCTTTATATATTTATATACACTAATAAGGTCACCCCTCAGTCTCCTCTTCTCCAAACTATAGAGACCCAGCTCCCTCAGTCTTTCCTCATAAGGGAGATGCTCCACTCCCTTAATCATCTTCGTTGCCCTGCGCTGGACTCTCTCCAGCAGGTCCCTGTCCTGCTTGAATTGAGGGGCCCAGAACTGGACACAATATTCCAGATGGGGTCTCACCAGGGCAGAGTAGAGGGGAAGGAGGACCTCTCTCGACCGACTAACCACCCCCCTTCTAATACACCCCAGGATGCCATTGGCCTTCTTGGCCTCAAGGGCACAGTGCTGGCTCATGGTCATCCTGTTATCCACTAGGACCCTCAGGTCCCTCTCCCCTACACTGCTCTCTAACAGGTCGTTCCCCAACCTGTACTGGAACCTGGGGTTGTTCCTGCCCAGATGCAGGACTCTACACTTTCCCTTGTTATATTTCATCAAGTTATTCCCTGCCCAACTCTCCAGCCTGTCCAGGTCTGTCCAGCACAGCCTTCTGGCGTGTCAGCCACTCCTCCCAGATTAGTGTCATCAGCAAACTTGCTGATAGTACACTCAATTCCCTCATCTAAATTGTTGATGAATAAATTAAATAACACTGGTCCCAGTACTGACCCTTGAGGCACTCCACTAGTTAGAGGCCTCCAACTAGACTCCGCCCCATAGACTACAACTCTCTGGCTTCTCTCCTTCAGCCAGTTCGCAGTCCACCTCACTACCTGATCATCTAGACCACACTTCCTCAATTTAGCTGTGAGGATTGCTGAAGTCAAGGTAGACCACATTCACCACTCTGCCATCATCCATCCACCGTGTTATTTCCTCATAAAAGGCTAAGAGATTGGTCAAGCATGATTTCCCCTTGGTGAAGCCATGTTGACTGCCCCTCATAACCCTCTTATCCTTGATACGCCTTAAGATGGCACCAAGGATAAGGTATTCCATCACTTTCCCAGGGATGGAGGTGAGGCTGACCGGTCCATAGTTACCCGGGTCCTCCTTCTTGCCCTTTTTGAAGACTGGAGTGACATTTGCTTTCCTCCAGTCCTCAGGCACCTCTCCCGTTTCCCAAGACTTGGTAAAGATGATGGAGAGTAGTCTAGCAATGACTTCCGCCAGTTCCCTCAGCACCCGTGGGTGCATCCCATCTGGACCCATGGATTTATGGATGTCCAGATTGCTCAACTGGTCTCTAACCCGTTCCTCACCGACTAAGGCAAACCGCTCCGTTGACCTGACTTCATCTAAGGTCTCAGGGGTACAGGGCTCTTCAGGACTGCCTGCAGCAGAGTAGACAGAGAGAAAGAAGGCATTCAGTAACTCTGCCATCTCTGTATCTTCTGTCACCAGGGCACCCATCCCCTTCATCAGTGGGTCTACATTGCCTCTGGTGTTAGTTTTGTCTGCCATGTATTTGAAAAAGCTCCTTTTGCTGTCCTTGAACCTTCTTGCCAGGTTTAATTCTAAGGAGGCCTTAGTCATCCTAGCTGCCTTCCTACATCCTCTAGCAGCAGCCTTATATTCCTCCCAAGTGGCCAGCCCCTCCTTCCATGACCTGTAAACTCTCCTCTTCCACTTGAGCATACCCAGCAATTCCCTATTTAGCCACGCAGGTCTCCTGGCCCTCTTCCTTGACTTTCTATGTGTCGGGATGCTCTCATCTTGAGCTCGGAAAAAGCAATCCTTGAATGTCAACCAACTATCTTGGGCCCCTTTACCTTCAAGCAGCCTTGCCCATGGGATTTCCCCTAGCAATTGCTTGAAAAGGCCAAAGTCTGCCCTGCTAAAGTCCAGGGTTGCAATTCTACTTGCTATTCTACTGGTCCTACCACACAAGATCCTGAACTCCACCATCTCATGGTCGCTGCAACCAAGGCAGCCCTCAACCCTTACTGCTTCGACCAGATCCTCCTTGTTAGTGAGGATGAGATCCAGCAGCGCTCCTCTCCTGGTCGGCTCATCCACCATTTGCAGGAGGAAGTTATCATCCATACACTGGAGGAACCTCCTGGACTGTGGCTGGGTTGCTGAGTGGTCCTTCCAGCAAACATCAGGGAAGTTAAAATCCCCCACGACGACCACGGCCTGTGACTGTGAGGCCGCTCTCAGCTGCCTGTAGAAGGCCTCGTCAACTTCCTCACCCTGACCTGGTGGCCTGTAACAGACACCCACAGCAGTACCGCCCCTGCCAGCCTGCCCCTTAATTCTCACCCACAGACTCGCAACTCGCTCGTCATCTGTCCCTGGACAGAACTCAGTGCACTGTAGCTGCTCTCGCACGTAAAGAGCAACCCCACCACCCCGCCTGGCTGGCCTGTCTTTCCTGAAAAGGACATAGCCCTCCATGACTATATTCCAGTCATGTGAGCTGTCCCACCACGTCTCTGTAATTGCCACCAGATCACAGTCTCCTGACTTAATACAGGTTTCTAACTCCTCCTGCTTATTTCCCATGCTGCGTGCATTGGTGTACAGACATTCCAGGGAGCGAGCTGAGCACACCGATTTCACCCTATGATTATAGGAGGCCTCCCAGTCTTCATTAATTCTGGAGCGCTGCCCCACTGGGGCAAGCCCAGCTACAACCCCATCCCCCTTCGAATCTAGTTTAAAGCTCTCCAAATGAGCCCTGCTAATTTGTGCCCCAGCATCCTTTTGCCTCTGTGAGACAAACCTTTCTCACTTGTCATTGTCCAGACTGGTGCCCTATAAAACCAGCTGTTATCAAAGAATCCAAAGCCCTGCCTGTAGCACCAGTCTCGAAGCCAATCGTTTATGGACTGAATTTTCCCATTCCTTCCCACATCATCAGTGGAAGATGGAAGGAGTGAGGAGAAGATCACTTGAGCCCCAGACTCTTTCACCGTCCGCCCCAAGGCCCTGTAGTCTTTCTTCATCCCCCTCAGACTGCAGGAAGCAGCTTCCCCCTCACCTGTCTGGAAGACCAGCAGCGGGTAGTAGTCCGTTGAGTGCAGCAGGCTGGGGAGCGCCCTAGTGATATCCCTGATCTGGGCTCCAGGCAGACTACACACTTTCCTATGATGAGAGTCAACTCTGCATATCGGGCCCTCTGTTCCTCTCGGAAGGGAATCGCCTACTACAATGACCCTTCTTTCTTTCTTAACAGAGGCAGTCTTGAGGTGCAAAGTCGACCCCCTTTTCCTATGTGGCTTTCTAGGCTGGCCTTGCACCACGTTCTCACCTACCTCT